CCCTCCTCCCCCTCCCCTGTGCTGTGTGCACGTACCCTCCTCCCCCTCCCCTCGTGCTGTGTGCACGTGCCCTCTTCCCCTCTGTGCTGTGTGCACGTGCCCTCTTCCCCTCTGTGCTGTGTGCACGTGCCCTCTTCCCTTCTGTGCTGTGTGCACGTGCCCTCTTCCCCTCTGTGCTGTGTGTACGTGCCCTCCTCTTCCTGTGCTGTGTGCACGTGCCCTCCTACTCACTCCACAAACCCTCTGGATGTGTCCTGTGTCCGTGTGAGCTCAAAGAAAACAGCAAAACAGGACAGTGGTAAGAAAAGGAGGGCAGAGACCCACAGAGAACAGGAAGGAGCTCCCACCCCTCATTTCACTCTGCTCAGGTAGATAGTGATAAGCCTTCCTGCTTCTGGGCTTTTCTATGTTTCTGTCCTTTGTCTGTTACTTGCTCTCCCCCCCAACTCCTCTCTCCCTGTGGGCTCCATACTTGGGGAAACTGAACTTCCCGGAAAAGCACCAGGAGAGAGACATAGTCTCTCGGAAGGCAGGGTTACATGGAGCAGACCTACTAATCTTGCATGGTGTGAGGGTGCAGCAGTGTGTGATTCTTGACATTAATAATAATTAGAACTCAGTAGTAGATTTCAAACTCCTCATTCCAAGATTCTCCGGGAGTTACTCCACTTCTGTGGCAGCCTCAGCTCAGCCATCATCTGTGGCGTGGAGCCTGTGGGGGTCTGTGGCACCAGTGACCTCTGCAGGATGATAGAGGCCCAGCCCAACGTGCAGTGCCAAGAGCTGACTGAGGCGAGCAGCTTGGGATAGGGTGAATGACAAAGGTGCATACCTGGTCTTCTGCCAGGGTGTGATGTCTGCAACACTGGTGGGGAGATTCGCATATTTTAACTAGTAATTTTATTTTTTTAAGGAACTCAAGACGACAACTTCCGAGTTTTCTTCCACAATATCCAATACCAGACAGACTTAAAAAGTGTGTGGAACAGAAAATTGACATCCTGACTTTCCAGCCATTGCTGGCGGAGGTAAGAAGGGTGTCTCTCCGCTAACAGACAGGGAGAGGAACCTCCTTCACACTTAGAAAATCGAGATGAGCTTCTTGGCCTCACGCTTCCCATGGCCCATCGTTAGCACTGGGAGCTGGGAGCTTCTTCAGAAACAGCTGCTTTGTGTTCATGCTCCCGGGGCCTGCTGCTCAGCTGACACAAGCATCATGGGCTCACTCCATGCGGTCTCTCAGCTGAACACTCGTCCTCACAGCACAAGGCATTCTCAGCAGCAGCTCATACTCCTGGTAAAACAGACCATCTCTGCAGAAGGGACCGGAGGGCGCAAAGGAGGATGCTGGTGTGCGTCCTGAGCATGCCACACCGCTGCCACACGCTTAGAGCGAGACTGAGGGCTTGGCCACCAGGACTTACCTGGTGAGATTATGGGAGACCTGTTATCTAGGGAGCTCTGGTGATTTATCAGGAAGGAGCTGTATTGTTATCCCAAAGACATGCAATTCGGATCTACCGACTACTCCATAGGAAAAAGATAGGGAGTATCCTCCTGTGGGATTTACTATCTCTTAAAATCTACTAGAAGGTCATCTATGAGTACGTTGCACTCCACAGTACATCATATCATCATCATTAGGCCAGAGACACTTAGAAGCTTATATCCCAAAACCTGTTGGTCAGGAGAGAAAAAGGCAGAGAGAGAGAGAGCTCTGACAGAATGCTCATTAACATTCTGGAGGCAAAGCACATCTCAGAGGAAACTTCCCTTTCGGATGACTGGTGCCTCACACTGTGTCGTGGCTCATCTCATCTCATTCCAGCCCATCATTCTAAAACCCCTGTCAGCTCGTCAGCCCATACTTCATCTTCTCTGATCCATCACCTCATCTCTTCATTCCTTCAGCCCATCTCACCATCCTGTCCTTTACATCAGGCTGTCACGTCATCCTTTCTGAGCCTGTCATCCCATCCCATCCCCTTCTCCTGTCCCCTAATTGCCTGTCAGCTCATCTCATCCTGTCCAGTCCCCCCAGCACTTCATCCTGCCATCTCATCCTCTGCTGCTGCCCTGTCCGTTTATCACCTCATCCTTTCCCACCGTCCTCAGCATGGCAGTCTCATGTCATCATCCTCATTGGGTCATATCACCCAGTCTCTCTGGCTAAACTGCTGAAAATGAAAGCCAGTCTGGCACATAAAATTAGTCATCACTGCTGAAAGCTAGGCCAGGTGCTAATTGCGGAACAGACCTTCAGCTACTCATGCAAATTCAAATTAAAGCTAAAAGAAGTCAAATCCACAATAATCAAAATATTATCTTGAGCGTGTCCCACCTGAATTTATAAGATCAACTCGGGAACAGATTTGAGGCCTTGAACACTAATGAACAGATGAGCTGAGGGAGGATATTAAGAACATCTATGACGAATGCAAAAAGTCTTTACAAAGACAGAAAGACGAAATACCAAAATGGGTATCAGAAGAGACTAAATGTTGAACAGGAGCTCCAGAATCCAGAGTAAAGGGAAGAAATCAAGATGTTAAGGAACTGAATTGTTGTTGTTGTTATGTGCCGTCGAGTCGCTTGCGACTCATAGTGACCCTGTGTACACCAGCCCTAAACTCCGCTCTGTCCTGTGCCAGTCGCACTGTCTCTGACACACCCATCCCGATTATCCCAGTCACTGAATCAATCCACCTCGTAGAGGGCCTTCCTCTCCTGCACTGTCCCTCCACCCTCCCAAGCATGATGTCCCTCTCTAAGGACCGGTCTCTCCTCACAACATGTCCAAAGTATGTTAGACGGAGCCTAAGAATCCTTGCCTTCAAGGAGCCACCCGGTTTAACCCTTTCCAGGACAAATCTGTTTGTTTTCCTAGCAGTCCATGGTATTCTCAATACTCTTCTCCAGCACCAGAGCTCAAAGGCATTGAATAGAAGATTTCAAATGGCAGCTCGGGAAGACAAGGCATTCTAATGAAATGTGCAAGGAATTGGAGTCGCAAAATCAGAAGGGCCAAACTCGCTCAGCATATCTTAAACTGAAGGAAATGAAGAACAAATTCAAGCCTCAAGTTGGGATATTCAAGGATGCTATGGGCAAAAAATTGAGTGATCCAGGAAGCAATAAAAGAAGATGTAAGGAGTATACAGAGTCACTTGGTTGACACGGAAATATCTCATGAAACAACATATGATCAAGAGGCAATGGTGATGAAGGAGGAAGTGCAAGCTGCTCTGAAGGACTTAGCAAAAAATAAAGCCCCGGGAATTGATGGAATACCAACTGACATGTTTCAACAAACAAATGCTTCCATGTATGTGCTCACCAGATTATGCCAAGAAATCTGGAGGACAACCATCACGCCAACTGACTGGAAGAGATCTATATTTATTTCCCTTCCAAAAAACGATGACCCAACTGAGTCTGGAAATTACTGCACAGTAGCTGAAAATTCTCGAAAAACGATTGAACAGCACATCAACAGAGAACTGCCAGATGTGCTGGGTTTAGAAGAGGTCCTGGTACTAGAGATATGATAGCTAATGTTAAATGGATCTTGGCCAGAAGCAGAGAGTACCAGAGGCATGTCTGTTTTTCATTGACTATGCAAAGGCATTTGACTGGATCACAACAAACTGTGGCTGACTCTGAGAAGAATGGGAATCCCAGAAAACTTGATTGCACTCACGTGAAATCTATACTTGGACCAGGAGGCAGTCGTCAGAACAGACTATGGAAGACTATTATGCAGATGACTCATCCTTGCATGCTGAAACTTAGGAGGACCTGAAGCACTTGCTTCAGAAGGTCCAGGACTGCAGCCCTCAATATGAAATGAAACTCAACATCCAGAAAACAGAGATTGTCACCACTGGGCCAATTAACAGCATCATGATAGATGGTGAAAAGATTGAGATTGTTAATAGCATCAGTTTGTTTGGCTCCATAATCAACATTCTTGGTACCAGCAGCCAGGAAATAAAAAGATGAGTTGCACTGGGAAAGTCAGCTGTCATGGACATCTCCAGAGTACTGAAGAGCAATGATGTCAGTCTGGAAACTAAGGTGTACCTGATCCAGGCCATGGTCATCACAATTAATGTGCTGTGCCTCAGAAAGCTGGACAATGACTAGAGATTATAGAAGGAGAATTGATGCCTTTGAGCTGTGGTGCTGCAGAAGAGTATTGAATATACCATGCACTGCTAGGAGAACAAACAGGTTTGTCCTGGAGAGGAAACCAGATTGCTCCTTGGAGACAAGAATTCTGAAGCTACATCTAACATACTTTGGGCATGTTGCAAGGAGGGACCAGTCCTTGGAGAGGGACATCATGTTTGGGAGGGTGGAGGGACAGTGCAGCAGGGGAAGACCCTTGGTGAGATGGATTGATTCAGTGACTGGGTATTGGGGACAGGTGTGTCAGAGACAATAAGGTTGGCTCAGGATAACACAGGGTTCAGAGCTTTTGCACATAGGGTCACTATGTACAAGTCAGGCAACTTGTCAGCACATAACAACAACACTGATATTACATGTAAGCAAAATCCTGCTGAGAATTATCCAAAATACTGCGACAGAACCCTGACAGAGAACTACCAGAAATATAAGCTGGGTTTAGAAGAGGGCGTGGCACTAGGGACATTATTGCCCATTATTGCCATTGTCAGTGGATCTTGGCAGAAAGCAGAGAGTACCAGAGGAATGTCTATCTGTGATTCATTTGACTGTATGAATCATAACAAATAGTGGCTAATCTTGAGGAAAACAGAAATCCCAGGAACATTTGATTGTGTTTATGCAAAACCTATCCTCAGACCATGAAGCAATCCTCAGAACAGAGCAAGGAAATACTCCATGATTCAGAATCAGGAAAAGAGTGTGTCAGGGGATACGTCCTGTCTCCATATGTTTTCAGTCTATGTGCAGAACAGATCATTTGGGACTCTGGGGTTTATGATGAGGAAATGTGGCATCCAGATTGGAGGAAGACTCAACAGCAAACCTTGCTAGCTGAAACTGAAGACCTGAAATGCTTGCTGCAGAAGGTCAAGGACTGTAACCTTCAATGTGGATTGAAGTTCACCATCAAGAAGATGAAGATTCTCAGCACTGGGCCAATTGACAGCACTATGACAGATGGAGAAAAGATTGAGATTGTTAACAATTACAGCTTACTTGGCTCCACAGTCAACACTCTTGGCACCAGCAATCAGGAAATTAAAAGACGATTGAATTGGGGGAAAATCTGCTGTCACGGATTTCTTCAGAGTGCTGAGAAGCAATGATGTCAGTCTAGAGACTAAGGTACACCTGATCAAGGCCATGGTCTTTGCAGTTACTTACCATATATCAGAGACCTAGACAGTGACTAACAATGACAGAAGAATCAATATCTTTTGAGTTGTGATGCTGGAGAAGAGTCTTGAATCATGAAGAATGTAAATCGGTCTGTCTTGGAGAGAGTGAAACCAGATTTCTCCTTGGAGGCTAAGATTTTGAAGCTCCGTCTCATATACTTTGAACATGTTGCCAGGAGAGACCAGTCCTGGGAGAAGGACATCATGCTCGGAATGATAGAGGGATAGCTCAGGAGAGGAAGACCCCGGATGAGATGGATTGATACAGTAACTGGGGCAGTGTTGATGTTGTCAGTCAGTGAGACTGGCTCAGGACAGGGCAGACTTCAGAGCTGTTGTACATAGGGTCACTGTGGGTCGCAGGCGCATGACAAAAACAATATAAAATACCAAATGCTTCTTCCAGATTTAGCAAGGACAGAATATCCCCTCTGCCACCAGGTCCTCTTGTATGTAGCTTCTTTTGCCTAGAGCATTGTCTCCTCACCTCCTCTCAGGAGAGCAACACTGTTGTTTTATGGATTTTTTTTCTTGAGGGTCCTTGTCTGAGTTCCCACTGTGTGTACCTGGCAGCTAGGGCCAGAAGTGATTTGTCAGTGCAGGTTAAGGAGGGCTATGGGCATGAGTCAGTGTGTCCCGAACGAAGACTGGATTTGCAGGTGAGTCAGGGTGAAGGAAGAGACAGGAAGGAGACACTGTTGATGACATGCCATGTCCATTGCTAAGGCCTGCAGGGACACCCTAGTCCTCTGAAAGCCTGGTGTCTGCCTGTGCAGCGCAGCCCCTGCAGCCCCAACTTCAGACCCCTAGCTCAGGCACATGGTGCTCCCTGGGTGCTCCCAAGAGTTGAGAGGCTTGTGCTGCATGTCCCCTCCCAGGGTGTCTGTCCTGCACTCCTGAAGGTCAGTGTTGAACACCTACTGTTTGATCTATTCTGTCTTGTTTATCTTCAGTTACTTCCAGTGGGTGTGCAGATTTGGCCTTTGCCACTCCATCTCAGCAGAAGCTAGGGCCCTGTCCTTTCCACTGATTTCTGTGGAAGCTCTGCCGTTCATGGGATCCAGTCAGAAGACCTGAAACGAACAGGGACAGCAGGTGCAGAGCACTCAGGAGCTACCCCAGAGGGGCCCTTCTGAGGGGCACCAGCAGCAGCCCAAGACAGTGCCCCTTACCCACCCCATGGGTGCCTGTGAGGTCAGCACAGCCTGGGCCCCAGTCTGGAGAGCCATTTCCAGGAGCGACAGCGCCCTGGCATGTCTTCTGCTCTCTGTAACTTGTTCTCCTTTTCGTTTTCAGCTTTTGAATATGTCAAACTACAAGGAGAAGTTCTCCACGTTGCTGTGGCTCGAGGAGATTCACGCAGAAATGGAACTCAAAGAGTACAACATGAGCGGGGTCACCTTGAAAAGGAATGGGGACCTGCTGGTGCTGGAGGTCCCGGGGCTGGCGGAGAGCCGCCCTTCTCTGTACACTGGTGGGTTATGCTGTTGGGATGTGCATAGGGCCACCTGGTAGCAAGGCCCTAATCACCCGGTGTCCTTGCCTGGCCCTAGTGCCCCTTCCTGATGGTGTGGTTTGGTCAGGGCTGTTGCCTGGACAGTGCAGCAGCCAAACTTTACTGTTTTATATGCGTTTTACATGTTGTGGCATGTTTTCTAACTAGGTGATAAACTGATTTTAAAAACTCAAGAGTACAATGGCCACGTCATTGAATACATCGGCTACGTGATGGAGGTAAGGACATGCTTCCTGAGTCAGCAGGGGGAAACTCAGCGGCCGGGGAGAGGGAATGAATGGCGTGATGCGTTCTGTGGGACTGCTGCCCCTGCCTCAACCCTACGTAGGGAATTTAACGTTTAAAAAATCTTGTCATTGTCATTCTAAGCCGTGTAAACATACTTGCCTTTTAAATCTTACCACGTGTAAATATCGGGTATTTGCACTTAGTTGAATGTGTTTGTTCTTAGGTGCCATCACGTCAGAACCGATTTATAGCCAGCCCTGTAGTGGGTTTTCAGAGATTTAAATCACACAGGAGGAGATTGCCCATTTTTCTTCTATGGAGAAGCTGGTGGATTTGAATCATATGCCTTTGGGTTGCCGGTACAACTCCTTACCACTAGGCTACCAGAGCAACCCGCTTAGTTGAGCTTAGGTGTCCTGAATGGATTTCAGCAGAAAGACACAGGTTTCTAGCTCTTGCATTGTGAGGGATAGGGTCTGCTGGCCTCATGCGCACACCCTGCTGCTCCGGGTGGTCTCACCCATCCTGCCATGCCACACTGCTGCCTGCTTCTGATGGCTTACTTCCCTCTGTAAACAGTGCAGGTCTGCTTACCACCACGTGATCATCATGTGATCTACCAGGAGGGTCTCTGAGGTTAACGGGCTGAGCTCGTGCCTCACTCTCCAGAGGAAAGATGCCAGCAGAGGCTCGGGGCAGATCTTCATTGGCCACCAGTGTCTGCTCCGTGCTATTCCACGTGGCTCGCTCAGAGACTCTGACCTTTTCTCTGGAGAGAGAGGCCAATGAGGAAGGCAAGCTGGGACTGAAGGCAGGCTTACAGTGTCCCAGGACAATGTAACGACCACAGGAATGTCTCTTAATACAGGACGGCCAGACAGGTTTCATTGAGGAGGAGGCTGGGAGCTGATTAGTCTGCTTGGGGAAGGGGTAGTATTAGGATAGCCAGAAAGTGAAAAGGCACTTGACCGAGTGTGAGGGCTTAAGCCCAGACACAGGTGCCGTATGGGCTGGTCATTGAATCCTGGCTGAAGAGAAATGTGGACCAACAGGCAGAAGATTGGTCAGCAAGGTGGAAACCAAAGCCAGGGGCTGCAGGCTAGTGGGCGCGTCTCATGAGGAATTGCCCTGGCAGATCTGCTTAAAATGCTGAAGAACAAGAATGTCACTTTGAGGACCAAGGTGCATATATCCCAAGCCGTGACATCTTCTACAATCTCATATGCTTGTGACAGTTGGATAATAAATAAGGAAAATTGTAATTAATAAGACATGCAAGCAAAATGCTGCTGAAGATCATTCAGAAACAGCTAGAACAGCACATAGATAGGGGACTGCCAGACGTTCGAGCAGGATTTTGATAGAACAGGCTGTGGCACCAGGGATGTCATTGCTGATGTCAGAAGGATCCTGGCTTAAAGCAAACAAAGAATGTCTGTTTCTGCTTTATTGACTATGCAAAGGCATTTGACCATGTGGATCATAAAAAGTTATCGCTTAAAAAAAAGTTATGGCTAACATTGAGAATAATGGGAATCCCAGAGCACTTAATTGTGCTCATGTGAAACCTAGACCTGGACCAAGAGACACTTAACATTACATGTTTTAAAATTAAGAAAGGTGAATGTTAGGCTTGTCGTCTCTCCATACCTGTTCACTCTGTATGCCGAGCAAATTATTTGAGAAGCTGGAATCTGTGAAGAATAATGTGGCATCAGGAGAGGAGGGAAACTCATCAGTAACCTGCATATGAAATTGACACAACCTTGCCTGCTGAAAGTGAGGAGGACTTGAAGCACTTGTTGCAGAAGATCAAGGAATACATACAGGCTTCAATGTGGATTGCATCTCAGTGTTAAGAAAGCGGAAAGATTTTTACTACTGGACCAATGAGCAACATCATTATAGATGGGAAAAAGATTGAAACTGTCAGTAGCTTTCTCTTACTTGGATCCACAGTCAGCACCCTAGGTACCAGCCGTCAGGAAGTCAGAAGACGCATTGCACTGGGGAAGTCTGCAGTTAAGGACCTCTCCTAATCATTGAGGAGCAGTGATGTCAGTTTGAGGACTAAGGTGCATCTGAGCGCTGGACAGTGAATAAGGATGACAGGAGAATTGATGCCTTTGTGCTGTGGTGTTAGAGGAAAGTACTGAATATCCCATGGATTATCAAAAGAACAAATAAATACATGTTGGAGAAAGTGCTCCGTGGAGGCACATGGTGAAGCTTTGTCCCACGTACTTCAGGCATGTTACTAGAAGGGCCTATTCTTAGAGAGGGATCTGATGCTTGGAAAGGTGGAAGGTCGACGCAAGAGAAAGACCCCCAACTAGGTAGACTGACAGAGTGACTGCCGCAGTAGTCTCTAGTGTATCAGGAATTGTGAGGATGGCACAGGATAGAACAGGGTTCAGAGCTGTTGTTCATAGCGTCACTGTGGGTCGTGCTTGACTTGCCAGTACCTAATAACAACAAAGAATTGGGGAGCTCTGGTGGCCCAGCGGTAAGAAGAGGTGCTTCAATCTTGAAGACTCATGCTTCAAATCCATTAGCTGCTTTGTGGGAGAAGGATGGGCAGGATCTTCCTGTGTGGTTTACTGCCTCTGAAAACTCACTGGAGGGCCAGCAGTGGGTGGGTCCTGACTCAGTGGCACACAGAAACAACCAAGCAGAATTGGTGCCTTTGGTATTATTGAAGACTTACTGTATATACCGTGGACTGCCAGAAGAAGAAACGGATGTGTCTCAGCAGAGGTACAGAGAATGCTCCTTTGAAGCCAGAGTGCTAACATTTGTGTCTCATATATTTTGAGCCCGTTAGTCAGAAGAGCAGTTCCTGGAGGAGGACATTGTGTTTGGTGAAGTGGAGGGTCATAGACAGCAAGTGGCTGCAGCAGAGGGCTGGCGCCTAGCAGAGACTGCGAGGTGCCAACCCACCGGCACCCAGCAGCCACCACAGAGAGGGCACAGACAGGACTCCAGAGCCTCACAGACAGTCAGAGCCAGTCACAGAAACGCGACAAAATGTGTGTCTTGCCCACAAAAGCATTTCTTCTTAAGTCAGTTTGTTGTTGGTGGTAGATGTTATTGAATTGAGTAGAATTCATAGTGACCTGTTGAACAAAAGATCCAAATCTTGTTCTGGGAAGTCATAAAAATCCTGACTATCTCTGGTTTGGTTTATTTTGTTTCGTTTAACCAAAGTAGCAGTTAAAATCTTTTGACAAGTGTACCATCTTGGCCTGCCAGCACGTGCACAGAGAGCAAGGCCAGGCCCTTGGAGCCACATGGGGTCCCCAGGCCTGTGGCAGCATGGGTGCCAGTCAGATGGTGTGAGGCAGCCCCCCCCCGTAGACCTCTGCGCTGACACCCCCAGAGGGCACGTGGCTGACGTTCTGTTGAGTGCCCCACAGACGTGAAGCTGGCTGTGTCAGCACCTCAGTGGACGTCCTGGTGCAGCCAGAGGGTCACACTCCTGCGACCTCTGATGCTGGGACCCACATACGGCAGCAGTCTCCTCAGCACCCAGAAGTCATCTTGGACTGTGCCGATGAGGCCTTCCGACACCACATCACAAAGAGCACCACCTCCAGCAGCTCCCGCAGCAAGAGCGGGGAGGAGCCGGCTCCTGCATTGGCAGGTCGGGCACCAGCGAGAAGCCACGCTCCTCCACCCGAGCTGCCCACCTCAAGTGCTTGTCCCCCTGGCCCTGCACCGGCCTGCTTTCCTAACAGACTGTTGTGACGGGCAGGCTAATCCTTCCCGGGCTGGACTCAGAACTCACTGCCGCTGAGCTGGAGCGTGGAGCCGCGGGTCTCTGCACGGAGCGGCTGGTGGGTTCCGACCACCAAGCAGCACAGCCTTCGCTTAGCACAGCTCCCTACAGACTGTGCCTCCAGAGCTCCCCCTGCCGAGGGAAGACAGTTCTACAGAGAAAAACCACATGCCTGGTTCGTTTTACAGATGAATTCCACACACTCTTGAGACGTCAATCTTAAACTCTTCTAGAGCTTGGGAAAATGACAAGATGCATACAGCAGGTCGTTTTACAAGGCTAGTAGAACCCTGATATCAAAGCCAGATTGAAGACCCTGTACGGAAGAGAGGAGCCAAGCCCTCGTCTCTCATTAATACAGAGATTCAAGTGCTTTTTTTAAAAAAAAAGCCCATTGAACTCAGCATTATGTAAATAAAATAATAAAGTTGGCTTTTCCATCCAAGTATGCAGGCATGTCATGAGAAGCCCTATGGTGCAGTGGTTAAAGCAGTTAACTGAAAGGCTGTTTGAAGCCTCCTGGCCACTCTGCAGGAGGAAGGCGGAGTCGTCCAAGCCGGCCAGGCAGTTCTGCTTCTCCCCCAGGGTCACTGTGTGTGCTCATCGACTCAGCAGCAAGGGGGGTTTGGTGAGAAGTAGCTGATAGATTAAAATGGAAAACTATTTGTACAGAAAAAATAGTAACAGTAAATTCCGAACAGAATTACTTTGTTGCGAAAAGGAAGCTCCGAATGTCATCTGGAGGCACTCAGAGTGGTCCCAAGTCTGCCTCTCCACCTGGGCTGCCGTCAAGAGTGCTCCTAACGAAACTCAGCCATCCTGGGAACAGAACGACAGACTGCACTGAACCAGAAGACTAATGAAGCCCCGGGATCTGCATGCGGGGTGCACCCGCCCCTCACGCGGTCCTCCAGAGCCAAAATGAGGTTCACAGGGCCTCTGGTGGCTCCGTGGTGGCTGCTGTGTCCAGGGCAGCATCAGGTGTGCTCTCCTGACTCCGGAGCAGGTCACTGTCAGAGTGGTGAAGGCACGGCAGTCAGTGAAAGGTTTTTACATGAAGCTGTTTTGAATTGTTAAAAAATAAGTTCCTTTTTAAAATAAGGGAAAACTGAAGCCAGTCCTACAGCAGGTAGTATCCTGGGTGAGGACACATGGGCCTGGCTTTTGCAGGCAGAACTCGCACGGGCACCATCACCACTTGCATTCAGCACT